AATGAAGCTCAGCGCGCTTGATGAGACCCAGCTACGTGACATCGGCTCTTCACTCCGAAGCGGTGGCACCAACCTTAGGATTGACGGGGTGCACGGCGCGCTGCATGGCGTCGAGCACTACGACGCGTAGCACTTGGAGCTCGGATTCTGGAACAGCATCATGGACTGGGACGACGTGAGCATTTGCGAGTGCGGAGGCGAGGATTCGGACGAGTTTTATGGTAGGTCGAACACGATGCTCTCCGATTTCAGAACGACGCACATCGTGCCCAGTTTCCCGACGTTCGGTCAGCGGCACTCTGCGGGTAGGAAGTTGGAGGTTTTCTGCACGCCCCGAAGGAGGCTCTGGCCGACCTGCTCCCTTTTCCCTCCCACGGGGCATGCGGGACGTGAGGAGGCTCGCGTCGGATTCGACAACTCGATACAGTTCACGTCCGCGGGGCCGTCCTTCAGCTACGCGATCGCTTCCATCAGACCGTATCAATATCCAAGAGCATTCCGTGGAGCCGCCAAGCATCACAGCGGACAGTACGACTCGAGCACCACCCGTACCCCGAGCGCCCGCAGCAACCCCCATGCGGCAAACACCAGGGTGAGCATCGTGACGAAGAGCGTCCTGACGGTCCCGTAGCCCACCGGGAACCCGAAGAACCGCGCGGGCTCGGCGGCGCCCAGGAACGCCGCAAGCCTGTCCCCGTGCGCAGACAGGGCGGCGGCGCGTTCCGCCCGCGCCGGGTCGGTGCAGCTGCCCGATTCGCGGGCGGCGGCGAGCAAGGCGAGGATCTCGCCGCGCGCGGCGCGGACGGCCGCCTCGGAGGTGCCGATGCGCGCGTTGGCGGCGGCGTAGTCCAGCAGGTACTGCAGGACAAAGACGGCCCACCAGAGGAGCACGGCGACTTCCCACGCGGGGATGCACGAGAGGGCGAGGTTGGCGACGAACGGGGGAAGGAGGAGGAGGCCAACGAGGGAGATGCGCTGCACGCCCGAGGCGCTGGCAGATCGGATGCCGGACCACGACGAGACGAGGTGGCGGAGGAGTGGCTCGTACGGCTCGAACGGGGCGGGCTGCCCCACGGGGTGTGCCGGTTCGGTGGGAGCGAGGAGGAGCACGCGGTACCGGCGCACGAGGGCGGCGAGGCGGACGGAGACGGCGCGGCGCTGCAGTCGCGCCGAAAGTCGCGTGACCGGCGGTCGTGGCGAGATGAAGGCGAGGGCGAGCATCGTGATGGCCATGAGGAAGGCGATGGCGATCGCCGAGGCTCCGAGGAGGCAGCCCCACCAGGTGCTCCAGAGGACCCTGCCACCGGAAAAGGCGGGGGTCCAAATCGGGAGTACGGCGTAGGAGAGCACGAGCAGCGGCAACCGGAGGGCACAGTCCGCCAGGAAGAAGAAAGCCGCGTGCGTGCCCGCGCGTCCGGCGCAGGTGTCCCGCGCGCAGGGGCAGTCCGCGTCCCCGTCCATGTGCACGGCAAGCCCGCTGTCCCCGGCGGCTCCGTCCTCGGCCTTCACCAGTTGCTCCGACCGGGGTCCGGAGCCGGCGACGTCCAGCCATCTCGCGAGCACGGCCAGCATGTGGTTCTCGGGGCGGGTCCCGGCGTCGTACGGGATGCGGGACACCGTGGCGGCCGACGTCAGGACGAACCACGCGATGCCCGCCGCGCCCACGGCGATGCGTACGGAGCCGAACGCGGCGGCGGGGTCGGCGGGGCCGGCGGCAGACGCGATCAGCGGGTACAGCGCGACGGAAAGGATCACGCCCGGCACGCTGCCCCACAACGTCGAAAGGTAGAGCCAGCGCCTCCCCGGTGCCGCGAGGGGCAGCGAGAATCCCGCGAGGACGCCCAGCAGCCGAGACGTGCGGGCCGCGGCCCCGGCGAGGGCGCGGGGCGTCGGCGGGTTTTCCGCGGAGAGCGCGACGGCGGCGAGCGTTTCCGCGTCCGGCTCCGCGGCGAGGCCGGGCAGCGGGGACTGGAGCACGGAGATGCGCGGGAGCACGGCGAGGAGCTCCTTCGGGGTCATGGCGGGCGTGTGTAGCGTCCGTCGTTGCGGGGTTGGCACTCCGAGCCCTCATCGCCGATTGGCTGGTGCACCGTTGAGCGCGCCGATCGTCCGCGCACGCCGGAACAGTGCTCTGATACGCATTGTCTCTCGATGACCCCCACTAGAGCGATTAAAGAGCTGGCATCAGATGGCGGGCGGCGCCCTCACCTAGCCTTGGCACGACCTCGGGCGGTTGTGGCATCCTCCCGCGGGGGAACGACGACGAGCCCTGGACCGCAAGGATCGGCAGCCAATACCCGCGTTGACCAACCTCACGCCACTTCTCCTGATCTCATGCGATCGCCGGGGCCTGCAGCAGGCCGCCGTGCGGACCCTTGCTGCAGGATGGCCGCCCGCAGAAACCCCCCGATCGTGGCCCCCAACTCCCCCCGCCTCTGCGCCCCCCCGCCCAGCGGCTCCTGGGGGCAAAGCTGCCCGCAGTCACATCCATGGTCAGGGTATGCTGGCGGGTGCGGACGGGGCCGCCAAGGGGTTTGCGGTGCACGTCTCGCGGCGTGCGAGGAGGGCCGGTCGCTGGACTGCACGCGGTGGCAGCAGCTTGCGGCGCCGGAACCCCCCTTCGTGCGGGACCCCTTCTGCGCGGGTGGCTGCACGTCCTGGATAGATGCTTGCTGCATCTGCAGGCTCTTTGCTCAGGATCCGGACCGCTTTGTTTGCGGTAACTGCCCCCGCGGAGACAAAGCCGCGTGCCTTTACCGCCACCTGTCGAGGCTCGACGCTGAGGAGGCCGCTCTTCGAAGCAGCCAGCTTCACAGGTGGCAGAAGGGGCTACCCGGTGGCCGCTTCTGGCACACAAAGAAGAAGGTTGGAGGTGGTGTGCGGGCCTTCGGGCCTGATTATTACTGGAGGTGCAACGGGAAGCCCTGCTGCCGTTGCGCCTCGGAGCGGCAGCAGCCGAACGACGAGTGTGCGGAATGTGCGAAACCGAACAGGGCTCCGGAAAGGTGCCACCGCCGTTGAATAGAGATGGATTGGATTCGATCCGGTTCAATTCACGCTCCGACTACAGGGGTGTTCCCGTCGCCGTCGTTCGACTCGAGATCCATGTGCAGTGGCACATCTGGCCTCGCGCTAGCGCGATGGTGGCTGAGCTGGTGGCGCTTGAGGCGTGCCAGCGGGGGCGGCGATCACAGGGGAGAGGAGGGGGATGGCGGATGGCGGGGAGGAGCGGGGCTGGGAGGGCACCCAGGCCGCGGCCGGCCGGGATCGCACTCGTCCGGAGTCCTCCTCGACTGGGCCGAGAGAGGCACTCGGACCCTCGTCCAGAACCTCAGGTGCCTCACATGCCCCTTCTCATCCTCCGTTGCCGTCTTGCACTCCATCTTCCCGTCGCCCTCCACGTCCGACGACCCGTCTGAGTCGGGCCGCGAATACTTCATGCTCGCCGCGCCGGGCTCAGAGGGAAAGAGCTCTTCCATGAAAGCTCCGTCGCGCTCGCCAGCGCCGCCGTTCCTCGTCGAAGCCTCCGCTGGCCGCCTCGCGTATCGGCAGGCCGCCCCCAAATGACCGCGACGGGCCGGGGCTCCACGGCGGCAAGCGAGGCCGTGCCGCGGGTCGGTGAGGCGGCCGACGGCGGCGGAGTTGCCCGAGCGAGATGCAGATGGGGCCGACGAGAGGGCAGAGAGGGGCGGGGCAGGAGAGGCTCGGGGGCACGTGCTCGGGAGGCACGGCGAAGGAGGGCGGTACGGGGGGGTTCGGCCAGCAGCATGGTGGCGCGCTCTGCCATGGAGCGCACGGGATGCGCGGGCTCCATGGCAAGGTCGTCATCGAGCCCGGCGCACGCCCCGCGGCAGGTGAAGCGGTTCGCGGCTCCGTCCCCGCCGTCCGATGTGCAGCGATCGAAAAGCACGACTAGCACGGCGGGACGCTTGCCACCGCAGCGGCAAGGATGACGCCCGCCGGCCGGTGCGGGACGACGGTGCGGGGGCGACGATGCGGGCGCGCGGGGCGGGGCGGGGGACCGACGCCGGCACCGATGGGCCCGCGGCCGCTGTTCCGGGCCGCGCCATCGAGACTGCCACGGCGGCTCGGCACGCTGCCGCGCCACGCACTGCGGGCGTTGGGGTCGGAGGGCGCGATGGCGACCGCACCGTCGACGTTCCTCGGTTGCCTCCCCCGAACGGCTCTCCCGCCGAGGGAGTCCGACCGCGCCTGCGGCAATTCCAACGGATTATGCACTGTCGGACTCGTGTTCCCCGCCCCCGGAAGCCGCTGCAGTGGTGGAGACTGGAATGCGGGAAGGTCAAGAACGTGCCTAGTCGGCGATCGAGTCGTCCCCCGGCTCGCCACAACGCCTGATACAGTACCTCGCCCCGCTGCGGAACGTCGCGGGCGTCCGGTCCCCGGTGGCCGGCGGAGCAGTTGATTCGGGCCAGACGCGGCGTCCAGTGGGACGTCCGACGGGCTCGCGTCCGGGCCTCCGCGCGGCGGGCGGTGCGGAGCGTCGCGTAATGCGCAGGGCCCCAGAGTGCGATGGAGGATAGAGAAAGTAGGACAGGTCGCGTCGTGGGAGGAGGTGGGCTGTTGTCCGAGCGGTTCACGGGGGCAAGGTGCCCCATGGGATTTCCGCGACCTGTAGGCTCGTTCCAGGGGCGGAAATGTAGGATCGTGGGGTACGTTTCGTGCAGCTATCAGGTTCGGCGGGATATCCGTCCTTCCGTAGCCGGCGCAACCCGGAACCGACCTCAGCGGGCCGCATGAGGTCCGCAGTCTGGACCGTGGTCTCCGTTCGCACCAGTCGCCCGCGAACGCCTTCCAAATCCCACATCTGCTTACCCGGATCGTCACCGGAACGGCAGAATATTCTGTGGGTGACCACAAAGCTCCTCCTGGTGCATGTATGGGCAGGTTGGTACAGATCGTCGCATGGCGTCCGGTGAGCCTGTGCTGTGAGCAGTTCATGAATCAGTACTCCGTCGCAACCGAACTACCAAGTACCGCCCCGAGTAGTACAGTGGTCAGTATTCCAGACTCTCAACCCAAGAGTGCTCTGGCGGCCCGGGTTCGATTCCCGGCTCGGGAATTCTTTTTGCTTTGCCAGGTAGCTTGGAGGTGTTGGTTGCGGGCCGGGCTAGAGGGACACGGGGCAGCGGGCAGCCCCCGACCCCCAACGACCCCCAACACCGCGCACGAGGTCGCGTCATCGGAATCTCTGCGATTCCCCCACTTGAAACCTTTTGGGGCGTGTGGGCGTCACCCGGCAGGTCGGCCGGGGGCCCCCGCGGGTCGGTGGTGGCCCGCGGCTCCCAACACACACACAAAGAATAGCAATCCAGCAAGAGCGATGCGGTGCCCCCTTCCGCGCCGCCAACGGACTATTTTGGTTCAGATATGGCCGGCGGGACGGTCGCTGGGGCCGTGGAGGGCCGCGGGGCCTTGCCGGGGGCATTCTCTGGCCTGGGTGACCCCCGTCGCCGCGACCCCAGATGCGGCCGGAGGGATCGACGTCGCGCTCCCGGGAGCTTATTTTGGGGCATAGTAGGCGCGTGGAGGTGGCTCGGGACTTGGCTGGCGGGCCGCAGAAGAACCTGAGGCGAGTTCGAGTGCAACGTCTTCGGCCTGCGCTGACTACGAGCTCTGCACGGCTACGCCCCCCGCCAGCTCCTCCATCTCGTTGCCCTGGAGCCCCGAGAAGGCACCCCTTGCGATGCAGCTGGAGCGTGCTCTGACAGATCCTGTGGTCGACGGGTGGTGGATGGTGTTGGGACCAAGGGGGGCGTGTCCAAAAGCGTAGAGCCCGCGTTTTGGAAATCGTCGGAGTCGTCGGAGTCGTCGGAGTCGTCGGAGTCGGAGGCGCGCGCCTAAACGTGAAGGCCAGGGCGCCCTCATCGTCGTTCTACGGCGAGGGGTTGCGACGAGGCCGCGGGCTTGGCGATGGCCGCGGTGGCGCTGCGGGCCGCGACAGGGTGCCCTGGTTCCAGATAGTTGACGATGACAGCTTTGGGCACTTGCATGTTGCGATCTGGGATAGATGGGGCAGGGTCGGGTTAGGTGTTCACCGCCTGGCCCGTCCTAGCCAACCGTTGCCCAGTCGGGCCGAAGATCACCCTGGGCTACACCGGACCGCGCCCGCGCCTCCCTAACTCTCAACGACCCCGGAATTTTCTTTGCGGAGCCGGCATCATTGGTGAGATGGCGCGGCAACGGGCCAATACGCAAGGCGGCTTTAGGTAGCTTTGAGCGTGAGGCGTCCGACCCGATCAAAGCCGAACAAGCCGCTATTCCCGGCCGCGGGTGCAACTCAGGCTCCTAGAGGAGCCCGTGCCAACAATCAGAAACACCAACGTTCGACTTCCTATTCGAGGCATCGCGAAGCATGGGGTTCCTGAGGGCGCCTCGAAGCCGGCGATCGCCGGCCCCGTACGGACGGATCGCGAATTCACCGGGCGCACTCCATTCCGGCGCCTCCTACGAAGAAATTGCTCCTCGTTTTCGAGGTGCCCACTGTGCGAGTACATCGGGCGATTGTTCGCGAGCTGGCGTCAGCATTGCGGGTCTTTGCCGCCGCGGACGGTTCCCCGAAGGTCGTTTCTCTTCCCCGGCGCTGCGCGCGCACCAACGGCAGCCCGGACGCGAAGAGGCGCCCCCGGCTTGCTGTGGCAATTCTCCGTGCGCCCGTGGGTCTGCCGCACGTGCCCAGCGCGATGGCGCGTGGGGACGGCGCCCCGCGCGGCGAGCAAGTCGCGCCGGCGCAGGACGAATCTCCCGCCCCCCGGAGCCGAATCCTCCGCCGCGCAACCGGTGCCCGCCGAAACGGATCTGCCGCAGCCGGTGGCGCCGTTTTCCCGCCTTCGCCCGACCCTCTCGCCGGTCTCGATCGTCGCGGGACGGCGGTCACCGAATCGGACCCTGAGGACGACTTCAACCCCGAGATCGCCGACCCTTCCGACTCGGACGATGGTATTACATCACTTGCAAAGCCGTCTGCCACGGCCCTGATCCGATTTGCCCCTTTCTAGCCCCGCCCAGGAGACCCGCTCGGCGCACGGCCGCGGACCCCGAACCGCCGTCACCGCCGGCGCGGAAGCGCAAGAGCCGCGTCGACGTCGACGACGCCGACGATAGCAACGACGAGAACGCTCCGGTCGCACAGCGCTCCAAGAAGGCCAAGCCGTCGTACCCGCCCTCGCAGACCTGCTCCGAGTGCGGCCACGGGGGATCAACCAGAACGTCAAGCACCGCACGGAGAAGGAGCAGTACTGCAACTTGGATTGCGCGGAAAGGGCGCTCAAGAGGCTGGGACAGGCTGCGCAGCAGGGTTCGGCCGACTTCGAACGCCTGATCCAGCAGAAGCAGCGGGACAGGCGGCTGGCGCGCACCGCGAACGCAGCCGCCACGCGCGCCTACAAGCGCAGCGTGGGCCGCATCCGCGACCGCCGCGGCTCCGACGATGCCGAGCCGACCGCGGAGGATGTCGCCGCCGACCTGCGGGCCGAGGCGGCCGCCACCGACACCGTCAGGCGGGCCGTGGCCGCCGTCGAGGCCGACCCGGTCACGCGGACCTACCTGGACCTCTCCCCCGCCGGCTCCGAGGACGCCCACCTTCGCCGGAACCGCGTCCTCGGCGAAGGCGCGCCGCGCGAGATGAAGATGCGCCAGGGCGCCGAGCGGAAGGGCCTGAACACCGAGGCCTGCAACCGCAAAGATGGGCACCCTTGCAGCCAGCCCGCCATTCTCTCCGTTCGTTGTCCATTTTTGAATGTGGATGTTGTGACTCGCCAGCAAGGTGGCGGGTGTGGCGGTGCAGCCAACTCACCTCATTCGGCCAGGGCACACGGGTTCAAGCTAGGCACATCCCGATCGCAGGAACTAGCGACGGGAGCCGCAGGTACGGCTGATGAAATTGCCGGTCGGGAGCTCAAAGGAGAGGGTGCTAGGAGGAGGTCAACCCGTCTACCAAGGACATCACCGTGCGCCCTGCGACACCGGCTTCGGGATGTTTGCGTCCTCACTTTCCGTCACCTTCTCGCGGCATCCGATCACAAACCTGGCCTGGGAGATGAGATGCGTCGAAAGTGAATCATACTCCAGCCACCGAGGTGCATCCGGCCGGGCCTCCTCGCGTCCGTCTGACTCCCACAGACTCACCAACAACGTTCACGAACAAACGCCACCGAAACAATCTCCAGCAATACCTCCCGCACGACTCTACTGTGCGTTCCGAGCTTCGCCTGCGCACACCTGAGGCCCCCGGCGCAATCCGCCCCCTCGCTGACTCCGCCGCATTTCACCAGACCATGTCGCCCACGCGCGAGCAGCTCATCAAACGGGAGCAGCGCGCCTTCGACAACATTAATGCCGGCGTTCCCAGCTTCGGCCCGTACACCAAGGACGTCAGCATGGTCTCGGTGCTGGGTGGGTCGGCCTCGCCGCGAGGTGCGACGCGCTCTGACTCGAAGCCGCGGGCAGGCGTCTTTGCCAGCGAGGCGGAGATTACGCCCGCTCTGGAAAAGTTCATCAAGGACTATGGCCTCAAGTACGAGCGAACGGCTGGCCCGGAGGTCGTCATGGACGTCGCGCCGGGCATTCACTGCGTGGTCTCCGAGTTCAAGCTCACCAGCAACGACGGGGCCGGCGGCCAGGTGCGAATAAAGTTGCGGCTGCGAAACCGAATTTAGTTCTGACCACCGGGGCCGTGTCCCTGTTCAGGTCTCGTACGGCTTCCGCGGCATCAACTTCCTCAACGACGCCCTCGAGTCCGTCCGCAGCATTGGCGTCCCCACCGACGACTCTGGCCGGCAGATCATCAAGGACGTAATAACCAGAGTCATCGGTGGGCCCATCCCCGGTGCCGCAGAAGCACAGGACGCCATGCGCAAGATGTTCGACCTGATCAACGCCCATGACGTCCGCGGCCTGACCGAGATGATGTCCGACGATGAGATTTGGATCGCTCCGTGGTTCAAGGTAATCAAGGGCAAGGAGGCCTGCATCGCCCTGACGAAGATGAGCCTCGACGGCGGCCTGAAGTCGGTCAGGATGCTCGGCGAGCCGTTCACGCTCGAGGTGAACCGCGCAAGTGCATACGGGGACCAATCCGGAGGTGCTGATTGTCCCGCTCGCAGCCCTTTACCGCCGAAGTCCGCGCCGAGGTGACCAACGAGGGACTCTTCCCCATCAAGGTCTCGCCGAGCATGTACAGGCTCACGCTCGACCCCGCCACCGGCAAGGTCGCCAGGCTGGCGCAGTACGTCGACGACCTTAATGGCGTCGAGACGATGCGGAAGCTCTACAACAAGGAGTTTGCCGGGGCGGCCGAATCGGCGTGATCGCCGCGGCCGCTGCCGCTCCTTCTTGGGACCACGTACCTAGCCGTCTTCTGAAGTGTAGTCATCTTTGAGCAGGCATTCATTCTAGCAGCAGAAATCAACTTAACCGTGCCGTTCGCTTGAGTCTGCTCGAGCGTCAAGCATCGATTCGGTCTGATCGGCAGCGGATGCCGCGATCGGCTGCCCCTCCCTCCTTCGGACTTCAGCTGCACCACCTTCGCGCGTTCCCCCACCGCAGACGGCTCGAACTTTCGCGCTCGAATCTTGTTTTGGACTACCACCTCGCTGTCTACAGAGCTTCGAGAGAGCGCGATGGACGGGGCCGTGGAACTCATCGACACGTCACCGATCCCTGGTCTCCTGCCCGAGCTCATCACCCCGATCCTGGAGCATCTCTACGCGTCCGCAAAGGGACCGTCGGAGTGCCTCGTCTTTGGGAGGGCGTCGAAGAGCTGCTACGCGGAGCCCTTCCTTCTGCGGGCCGTCGACTCGGACCTGCCTTCCCCGTCGTGCTTGGAGGCACTGGCGCGAGCCCCCGCGAGGGCCAAGCACGTCCGGGACCTCGTGCTGACCTACAAGCCCGCCATCCCCCTCTCCGACGACCCCGAGCGTGTCCACGCCGAGGCTATGCTCGTCCGCGCGTGCCTCCCCACCCTGCGCGCCCTCGCGATGCACCGCCCCTGGCCGGAAGTTTGGTCGGCGTTCTGGGACGTCCTTCTGAGCATCGGTGCGCGGCGCCTTCGCCGCATGGACC